AGCACCAGAGGGATGGGAGGGAAGGCTACGGACGACTGAAGATTAGGAAGTCTTATGTGTAGGGAAGAAACAGCTGAGATCACTCTCGCATGGGCGTATAGTTATTCCTCCCTCCCCTAGGAGCCAGCTGCTTGGAAAGATGCTCTGTGGTCTCTAATGATATCCGTGATTGCATTACTATCTTGTTTGGGTGGCCCAGTGTCTGCACTGCGACCGGTACCTTGGGGGCAATTGCACTGTTAGGTGCCTTTCATTTCTCCTGGCCGTGTTCTCCAGGATGTCCAAGCACGCTCCCACCTTCTTCCTGTGCAACTTGCTCTGCCAAGGACCCCTTCCTTGTGGCTTCAACCAACTGGTTTCCTTCACCATGCGTGTGTGGCTTTCCAAAGCTGGCTGATCTGTTTGTCCTGTCTTTGACCTCCAGCTTCACCGATCTCCTCCAACCATGGATAGCGTGGGAAGGAAAAGGCAAGCGAACCCAAAGCAGGAGAGAGACATGAAGCTTCCCACATGTTTTGCCGGGCGACTGTAGGACCAGCTCTTCAGGGTTTCTCTTGGTGGCAACGATGTGACAGGAACTGCCAACCATAGATGCTTAAAGCTAACAAGCCAAGAACCCCAAACCCTCAAATTTTGCACTGATTTTTTTTTTTTAAGGGAGGAGAGGGAGGAATCAAACCTTGGGATCTTATTTACCTTCTGGCTTTTGAAACCTCTGCACAAATCTGGTATGAAAATGTAATCACGAGTGATTGACTCATTTCTGGATGAAAGCTGACATCCTCATCCCCTCGCTTTCATGGACAGCATCTCCCCTAGAGGCAGATATTCACACATGCATGCAGCTTCCTATGGAGACACCTGCTTCCAGGAGGCTTGAAGTCCAAAAGCCCATGACCACAAGACTGGTGCTAAAGCCACGAGAGCTGCCAGCGCTTTCACTGTAGGTTTGGACGTGACCTCCTGGTAGTGCCTCGCACATCAGCCGCTCTTGGAGCCAACTGCAAAACCTCCAGGGATGCAGCACCCTCCGTATGCGAGGCTCTGTGGCCTGGCATCGTGCACGAGGAAGCACCCTGCCCATATGTGCCACGGGTCACGCAGATGGGCTCAGCCTCTTGCAGCCGGGGATGCCCGCGCGGGCATGTGGGCAGCAGCAAGAGCTGGGAACGGAGCCCACATGGTCTGTTGTCCCTGCTCCCTCCTGTTGGTTTGGGTACCCCTGCTGCCCCATAGGATGGGTCGCTGTCTGTTCTGTGCTCAGGGCTGGGCAGCGGGGGCAGGATCTGTGCTCGGGGCTGTGGTGACATGCAGGGAGCTAAGAGCAGATTGCCTTGGGGATTGCAAGAAAACACCCAGCACCCACAGCATGCAGGCCAGGGCGGCCTCCTCTGGGGAGCTGGGTGGCGCCTTGGAAGGCTGCTCGGAGCATGTTGTTCTGCGTGTCTGGGATTTGCTGGTACCAGCCGGCTCGGGAGCTGCTGGAAAGCAGCTGCCTAATTCCCTGCTGAGCTGGCCGTCCCTTGCCGGGTTTAACCCGTGCTGCGCTGCAGGGACCCCAGCTTCTCAGTGCCCCATCTTTATGTGCTCCCTCCTGGGACAGCTCCGGGTTGTGCTGCCTCCCAGGCCCATCCACAGCTCTCCTCGTCCCTTCTCATGCGGTGCCATCTCTTCAAAGCCCTACGCTTTAATTTGCGCTGGGTTCGGGTCATCTTGCTGCCCCCCCGGCCGGCGTGAAATCCCGGCCTCTGGTCCAACGGCCTCCGAACGGGTTCCAGGGCTGAGCTGTTCCCTTTCGCCTTTTCCCGAGGGCGGGTGGGATTACCTGGGGCCTCCTTGCTGCTCCCCCAGCGTAAACGGGGCGGTTCCCTGACCCTCGGGAGCAGTGCCCCTGATGCCCCCTTCCTGTCGGGGCTGATGGATGGGGCTGTGCGCTTGGAGCTACAGGCAGCCGGTTCCCCTCCCAGGCCCACATTCCTGCAGCCTGCCTCCCCGCTCTCCCCCGCAGCTCGAGCCGGAGGAGCTTGGCCGTGCTCTCGGGTTGTTCCTCTCCACCTCGTTTCCATCCCAGATGGAGGCCGTGTCTTGGGGCTGGGCAAAGGGATTTCCGTGGTGCCAACTTGAGTCGAGCGCCTGTTGTTTCTAGGGTAAATCCCAGTGTCCCCGAGTCTCAAGGATGCCTTAAGCTCTTGGGTGGGGAAAACAGTTGCAAGGGGATTTCAGAGCCCCGCAAGAGGTGGTAGTAAATAATGGTTCTTGGAGCCCTTTTCAGAGCCACTATCCCTGTGTCTCAGATGAAGAAACTGAGGCACAGCCAGCAGGTAAGGTCACTAGACATCTTGGTCACCGAGATGTCCAGTGACCTTAGAGACCTTGGGGGTTATCCGAGCGGCGCCCGGCAGTCGTTGCAGGATCATCCTTGGGCTGCTTGTGTTGGGATCTGGAGGTTCGGGGAAGACACTGAGCATCCCCCGGACCCGGGTTTGTCTCCCCGTTCCGGCCTTTAAGGGGAGTGCCTCAGCTCTCTGGCTGTTCGGGGTTAAAGTTATTCTTAAAATAAACCTAGAAATCCCCTCTGAAAATACCCAGGAGGCTGGGAGGGTCAGGGACCTACTGGCAAGGGGCCAGTGCTGAGTCCGGGGGCGGGTTTTCAGTACTTAAAGTTCATGGGCAGACACAGCTGCACCAGTGTCCATTCGGGTGGTGGGAAGGAGCGAAAGCTGACGGCTGCCTGTTGCTCCTGGCATCACAGAGAGAGGAAAAACAGCCATGAAGCCAACTCCTTTCCTCCCCTTCTTCCTTCTCCACCTCGGCTGGAGCTACGGGGGTAAGTCACCTGGAAATACAGCCAGGATCGGGGCCTCTGTCTGCGCTGGGTGGCATCATTGCCTTGGCTAAGACCTGAGCTGCTCTAGGTAGCGCCAGGTGTTGCTTGCAGCGGTCTCCGGGTGTGATGCCCGCTTCAAAGCAGTGGCCCCTTTGCTTTGAACTGCCTGTCTAGGCTCCTACAGGCAATTTCCCCCCAGAAGCCCACCCATCTCCATCCTCCAACACGGGCAGAGTTTTTATCCCCACTTGCGTGCACGGCACATGGGTCTATAATCCATCAATTTCCTCTTTTTAACAAAAATGTTTCTCCCCTCCCAGCTTAAACCTTATTAAAACTGGCTCAATGAAGGGAGAAAAATGCACGTACGCAACAGGGAACTTTTTTATCCCTTAGCTGTCTGGCTGTACCCAGCACGAAGCGAACAGGATTAGAAGTATTGACACAACTGAATCTCCATGAGGGCTTGTTTGAGCACTTAGTCTAATGTAAATAGCTCAGGGCCTAATTTTGATATCGCGGGGGAATCTGGAGCTGTGGCCGGGCGCTGACCCCCCGGGTTATGCGGCATCGGTCGTGACACGCAGGTCCCCTGTCCCGCCACGCTCCGGTAGCCGTGCCAGCCTGGGCCCGCGGCGGAGGGTGTTTAACGGCATAGGACGGGATCGCTTTGCGACGGAGACGCCTCCCTGCAAAGTGGGTTTCAAAACGGCCCCTCTTGCCCTGGGTCTGCAGACCCCCCGCACCGTCCCAGCCCATGGGCTCCCTTCCCCTCCCAGTCGCAACTGGGACCTGGCCTCATTCATGCCCCGTCCCCCCGCTTCTGACCTTGTGCCACCGCCTGCTAGGAGGATTTGAATAATATTAAGGGAAGAATATGCATGATATGCATACTAATAACTTTAACGTTGCATTTACTGATACCCATATCTTACTATTCATCTCAGAATAATATGAATAGGCATAGCGGCAGTCAGAATAAGAAGATGTAGGTTAATTATAACTTTCTCATCTCTCAGAATAATGATAATATAATGTAAATAATCTGAATGGGTTTGAATAAGAGGGGAAGCATCGGGGGCTATTTCTCGGGGGGCAGCAAATGCCCACCTGCCACCACCGAGGGTTGCGGGCTCTGCCGGTCATCCCTGTGTGTTCCCGCTGGCTGGGGGCAAGGCTCAGCACTGAGATGCCCAGTCCCCTGTGGGCGGTGAGATGGGGACCACTGTGTTGGGGTCGCAGCTGATGTAAACAGTGTCGGCTCCGCTGATTCCAGTTTACACTGCTGCGAATCTGGCCCGGCGGTGAATTCGGGCCCTTTTGCTTTTTCTCCCGATGGCGCCGTGCAGCCGTGACGTGGCACAACTGTGATCTCTGTGCGGCCACGAAAAAGCCCCAAGTCCTTTGTGGAGCAGTCCTTAGTCAAAGCTTCCCTGCCATTGCTTTGCAGCGATGTCTCTGCCGGAGGGGGCTGCATGTGAGGACCACCGTGGGCAGGGCCCCTGCGTATAAACATCTCATTAGAGATGGAAAAATACTATCCGAGTCATGAACGCAAGTTTTTATTTCCATAACCCGTCCTGCTGCATTGGCAGTGAGAGTGGAAAAGGGCATTTCAAATGCACCTGGCACTTCCTTGCCTTGCAAAACCCATGGGGGGTGGGGGGAGATCTGAGTTCAGCTTTAAAAAAAAAAGTCAGGCCCTTGCCTTTAAATGTTGTAACGAGCCTGAGAAATTTGCATTGTTCGTCTATGATTGACAGCGCTCCTACTCTGTACCGGCTGCCTGGCTCCTGGGGGGCAGCAGGGGGTTAAAGCACTGGGGAGGACAGGTGTTCAGGCCTGGTTTTTAATGAGCGGTTGTAAAATCTCTGCGGTAGGTGGAGAACACCAGGCTGATGGACAGGGAGCTTTTCACCCCATGCTCTGAGATCCTTCCCTGAACTCAAAGGGTTTTACAAGGAGCATTGGCGAAATGCAGCCACCTCTGGGGAGGGAGACATCAGCCCTTGCACTCCATCAAATCGCCCCATCTGGGTCAGGCTAAAAGTCCACCTACCCAACTCCCTGCCACTGCTGGGAACAAGCAGCAGATGCTTTAGAGGAAGCAGATAAGAAACAGGACCTGGTGGTGCTGGCTATCCCCTGTCCCCACCGCGGTACTCATCGCTCTGCATGACAGCTGTGAGAGGGGGGATTTTCGCCAATGGCCCTGAGACAAATGTTTCCTCATCCTGGAAATGCCTGGGGGGGATCTCTGAATGTTTGTGGATCCGTGGCTTTGGAGGTCACCCATCTGCAGGGAAGTGAGACGTCCTGGATCCACCGATGTTGATGGCAAAATCCTCCTGGGACGCTCTGCCACGCTGCAAAGTGGGATCCGCCTGTGACGCGGGTGTAAGTTTTGAGACTCGCCGGTTGCGAGATCTCTTCCTCCTTTTTTCTCAAGGCCATTTGTGTTCTCTCCCGCCAGGCCCCCTGCCCAGCATTCCCCCCCCGCTGACCGTGCTGCCCTGGGAGCCGCTGGTCGAGCTCGGAGGCTCCATCCAGCTCAACTGCTCTCTGGGCTGTGCGAACAGCACGGTCGAGTGGAAAGGGCTGGACACCAACCTGGGGAACATCCTGTCCTTCCCCAGCCACAGCGTCCTGCAAGTCACCAATGCCCACGTCACCACGCGGGGCACCAAGATCTGCCTGGGGATCTGCCAAAACAAGATCATCCAGGTGTCCGTCAGCCTGGAAGTGTACTGTAAGTTTCCCAAGGCGCGTCGACCCATGGCCCCACGCGGTGCCCCTCGCAGCGCTGTCCTGCCACGCTCTTGCCACCAGCTGCAGCTCCGCTCTGCGGACTGAGCACTGAGACGCTGCCTTTATGGTCGCCAGCTCCCCCGTCGTCTCTTCTGCAGACTAAATAGTCCTAGGGCGCCTACAGTCCCATGGACATCAGGGCTCTGGCCTGCAGCACCCAGACCCCTCTGAGGCTGGGCGTATGGCTCACTGGCCCCATCGCCTCCTCCCTCCGTCCAGGGGCCTGGCTGAAATGCAGCCACTTCTGGGGTGGAAGAAAGCAGCCAGGCAAAGCACCTGGGACCATGACGGGGGGGCAGGTTTTCAGAGGGGAGCAGCAGTGACAGAGGCCCTGGGAGCTGTGCACCGCCCCTCTGAAACCCAAGTTCGGTGCTCTGGCCTGTGTGGGGCTTTGATGCCCACCCCCCTCCCCGGCTCCTAAACGCATCAGCCCTTTTGCCACTAACTCCTCACCTCGTGGCAGGCAGGCCTGGGCCCAGCCACGAGGGACAAAGCTGGCTGTTTCTCACCTGCAATTCTTCCTTCAGCTTTTCCAGACACGCTGCAGCTGGAGTCCGAGCCCAAGGAGCTGGTGCCTGGGCAGCCGGCCCGGCTCTTCTGCTCCCTGAGCAAGGTCTACCCGCCTGGCGGGCTGACCCTGACCTGGTACCGGGGGGACCAGAAGCTGGAGACCCCGGAGCCGGAGGAGGACGAGGACGACGAGGAGCTGTTCTATTACCGCTCGGAGCTGGACGTCCCCGCAGGGGACGTGACGGAGGGCGCGGAGTTTCGGTGCCAAGTGGAGCTGTCCCTGTCCCAGCCTCAGAGGCATTTCCAGCAGGACCGAGCAGTGGCCGTGCCCATAGCAGGTGAGTCGGAGGACAGAGCCAGGCCTCTTAGTGCCTAGATCTAGGGCCGGGCTAGTGCAATGCAGAGCTTCATTGAAACCCCCCCGGGAGAGTTGCACTGCTCCCTCCCTAACCCCAGTCGCCCTCTGAATCAGATAACTTCCTCAGCCCTCCATGCATCTCCCCCCAGCCCCAGCGAGACGCCATTCCTGAGCTTGTGGCTTCTTTCCACGAGAGCTATCAACCTCCGTGGCTGTCCTCCTTCCCTAGCTCGAGTCCTGCCCGGAGAGCTGCTTGTCCAGGGTCGGGTGCATTATGACGGGGAAAGCAAAGGGGCCGATGGGACTTGAGGTTTCCAAGCCAGACCCCTCTGTGGCTGGTTTTGGAGGGGAGAGGCACTCGGAGGGACAGTGCCTCCCACGGGACGGTGGCAGGTTCTTGCCTCTCGTGGTAAAAGGGGCGAGGAACAGCACCTATGTTGTCCCAGCTCCTGGGAACAGAGGGTATTGATAAGTTTTAAGAATCAACATCTGTTTACAGCTGTAACGAAGCCACCCCTGGAGCTGGCCACCACCCCAGAGATCCCCAAAACCGAGCCATCTGCTGTTAAGACCCCCAGCACAGCCGGGGTCGGGGCTGCCGAGGACCCTGCCAGCACTGCAGGGCTGGAGATCCCCAGCTCCCCCGGTGGGACCCCAAAGCTGGAGTCTCCGGCCCCCACAGAGAACGCAGCCACTGCCTTGGTGGCTACAGCTGAGACCCTGCCCCCTGGGCTGACTGCTCCAACCGAGATCCCCACCGCGGTGCTCGCCGTGACGTCGCAGCCCCCAAGGACCGAGGCTGCCTTGCTGGACCCTGCAGACACCACTAGGGACTCGAACACCAGCACTAGCCCGGCCCTGGTGAGTGGGAGCCCCAGCACGGAGCCGGAGGATGCCACAGGGAGCTCTCCAACTCCAGAACCCATTAGCGCCCGGCGCCCCAAAAGCACCACCCACGATCCCCCGGACACCCCCAAAACCAAGTCCATCTGCAACCTCTTCATCAAACCAGTGCCTCCCAAGGGCATCACCGGGAAAGCCCTGAATGTGGTGTGCTACACTGAGTGCCACGAGGAGGTCACCATCCAGTGGGTGAAGACCCCGATGGCGCTGTCCCGGTACCAGGAGGAGCTGTCCGAGGGAAAATCCACACTGAGGATCGACCGGGTGGCCCCAGAGCACCAGGGGGACTATCAGTGCGTCCTGCTCAGCCCCAGGCCCCAGATAGCACATCTGCACATCACCGTGTCTCCTGGTGAGTGAGGGCACATGGGCTTGGGCGGCGGGAAGGGGCTGGAGCCGGACATGAGGAAACGTGCCCCGGAGATCGGGCTCTCCCGAGCAGCCGCTCCATCCAGAGCGCGGAGCCGGGTCGCTGTAACCTCCCCGCCAGCTCTGGCGGGCATGGGGCAGGGAACGTGGTATGCACAGTTGAGGGCAGAGCACTGGGCTCGGTCAGGTGTCTATCTCCTGGTGGTACAGTGACCCTGACAGCTGGGGCAACAGCTCCAAATCCCACCCCGTGGCCCAGGCACGAGCAGCACAGGTCTCCCTCCCAGCCCAGCTGGCGCGCTCCTGTCTCTTCACTGGCCTTCATCCTGCACCGAGCCCCTGCGAGACTTGCCCATGCAGCCGTAGGGGCTGGTGGAGACCTGGTGTCCAAAGGGCATCTGAACCCAGCCCAGGCTGGAGCCCAGAAGTGCCAGACCGAGTCAGACCAGTGGTCCAGCTGGCCCCGTCACCCATCTCTGACATGGCAAGGGTGCTGTAGAGAAAGATCATTGAACTGGATGCCACTAGAGGTACGGATGGTGCCCTCCTTGCCATCCACCACTTTAGGGCTAGAGATGGCAGAGGAAACACCTCCGGCTGTTGTGTTCAATAGCCGTTACTAGATCTCTCCTCCGTGAATGCATCCAGTCCCGTTTCGAGCCTGGCTCAGCTCTCTGCCTCTGCCAGGCCAGCAGCTCCACGGCCTGTTCTCAGTGCCCCAGGCTGCGCGGCACCCCGATCTGCTCTTCCGCTTTGGCACGGAGCTGCTTTTTCTATTGCCCTGTGAGCTGTCTGAAAGGTCAGCACTGTTTTCCGCCCCCCGCTACGCATGTGAGCTCAGGGAATTTCCCCGTCGGAGAGCGTCTGAATTGCAGTGCTTTTATCCAGTGCCAGGCGGCTCCGTGCCTATGTGCCCTGGGCTCTGACGCTCCTCTTGTCTTCTCCTTGCAGACACGTTCAGCGCCAACACGGCCATCGCGGTGGGGATGGCTGGCTCCCTCCTGGGGCTGATCATCACGGGCTTCGCGTCTCATCGCCTCTGGAAACGGCTCAAATCCCGGTACAACGTGTCCTAAGGGTGTCCTTGGATGCCCCCGTTTGGCTGAGGACCTTTTAGATCAGAAGCTGCTGGGATTGAAGGGGCCCAGGGCAGAGCCTGGGATGGTGCCGAGATCAGCCAGCGAGCGCTGAGCAGAGGGGAGCAGACAGGCCTGGAGAAGCCTGTTTCTGTCCCTGCCTCCATCCTGCTCCCGGATGTTGTGATTTCTGGCTCCTGTGTGCTGAATTGGCTGGGGCTCACATCCAGCCGGGTGCTGGGGCCTGGCTCGGTGGTAGCCGCGTTTGGCAAGTGGCTTTGAGCTTCGTAGGGCAATCGGATGGGCTGCGGGGAGCAGCCGGTGCTCAGAAGTGCAGTGGAGCTCCCCTTCACTGCGCGCTAGCTCCCTCCTTGCCTGAGCTCCAGGCTGAGAGGATGAGTCAAATCTCTCTGGACTCGTCTCAGTCCCTTCCTTGGTGGTTACAGCACCTGATGCTCCCGGGGCCGTTGGTCTCAAGCACGTTGGTTTTAGGGGCCAGCTATGGAGAGTAAGGGGGAAAAACAGAGGTGACCTCGGAGGCCGATGCCTGCTGCCGGATCATCATGGAGATGCCCCATCCAAGGGCAGGGGTTTCCTTGATCTCCCTGTACCCCATGAAGGCTGGGGAGGGGGCCATGGGGTGCCCTTCCCACTTTGCCCGACATGGCCCACATCCACCACGAACCCTTTCAGGGTGCCCAAAACCTTTGCCTATCCCGCTCCACAGCTGGAGCAGGGATCCAGCTGTGTTCATGGTGCATCGGCAGTGCTGTGGCGCCTGCTGTGTTGAGCATGGCTGTCCTAATAAAGTGACCTTTTCAAGGGTTCCTTCGCCTCCTTGGCTCTTTGTCCGGGGGGGGGGGTTGATGCATGGGGCAGGGTTAGCAGGGGGCCAGGCCCATTGTTCCCCTGCCTTTAAAAACCAAAGCCAGGGTCCACTCCTGCAGGCATCTCGCCTTCAGCAGCTCTGGGAGCCCCCGAGTTTGCAGAAGGCTCACACGGAGTGGGCGGGCGGGGGGTGGCAGCTGGGCTGCCCTGACCTCACCGGGGTTCACAGCAGAGCCCGGTCTGAGCTGAGGAGCCGGGAATCCCGGAAGGAGCCAACCGAGCTCCTTGCCCCAAGTCCAGTGGAGCACCCGGCTCTCGCTTCCCCATCCCGCTGTCTGCGCCCCCCCCTACACCATGTCACGCAGTGGAGAAATCCCCCCCAGCTTCCCCACCGCAGGTCCCTGGGGAACTTCCTAGGGAACTTCCCCATCAGGGCACAGGGTGCAGGGCTGCTGTCAGCTGTGGGGGTGGGAATTAAGGATGAAGCAGAGAGATGAAGGGGAGATACCGGCCTTAGGGCCTAGTTGAGCTTGTAAGTTCCCAGCCAGGCTGGGGGAAGCTGTACAGGCCTTGAGGGCCCAGCCACCGGGCAGGAGGGGTTCGTGTTGGCCCAGCCTGGCCTCTGTGACTCGCTGACTCCCTCCTCGGGCAGCCGAGCCTCTGCTAAGACAGCCGGTGGCTGTCAAGACCAGCGCAGCCTGGTCTGCAGTGGGGCTCCTGCCCTGGCAGTGTGGCTCTGGGGGAGGCAGCAACCTGCCCATTGAGGCCCTGTCCACATAGCTTTCCCAGATGTGCAGGGACCTCTCTACCCAGCCTCTGGAGAGGCAAAGCGTAGGCCCTAGCTTGCCAAGACTCCTCTGAGAGCTTCCCCGGCCATTTGCTCCGTAACTGAGCAGCGCTGGATCATGGGGCTTCTTCCACTCGGAGGACAGCTGCCTGGGGCAGGCTCGCACCCTACCCCCAGCTCTGCCAGGACAAGGGACTTCAGCCCAGGGGATCCATCCGGGCACTTTCACAGGCGGCAAGTGCCCTGAAGCCAATGCAGAGATGCTCTGGCTTGTTCCAGCTGCGCTGCTGTGGCAGAGGCAGAGCTGAGAGTCCCAGGGCGGATAAGCTCAGTTGGGCATAGCAACTGTTTAGAGGGGAAATCCTTTCCCTACCCCCATGTATCCTTCTGCAAAGCCGGAGTCCTGTGGTGCCCAGCCAGGGCCAGGGCAGGGTGCCGTTTCCTGTGGGATGAGATGCTGCAGCTATTATTGGAGGCCCACGATGGGGCCACGGCTGCATCTGTACAAGTAGCTGCACCCTCTGGGGTAACAGAGTAAGCCCTTGTTGTGTCCCCCCCAACTGCTTGGGTTTGGGCAGGGAACTTCTTGCCCTGTGTTACCTGCTGTTGGTTAATCCCTGCCCCACACTCCATCACCCCCACTCCAGCTCCAGGTGCAATAAGGGGCTTGGGGCCAACTTTGTAAAAGGAGTTAAAAGTCAGACATGGGAAGTGTTCATGAGACTCGGTCTTGCCAGTGCCCATCTCCCCCTGGAAGCTGCATGTCAGCGAACGAGGCAAAAGCCCTTCACTTGTGTTGTAGCGTTGGTGCTGCAATAGTTCCCTCTGGCCAGAGTCCATGCCCCGGACAAGGAGGGAGAACGTAGGGTTGTAAAGACGGGGATTCTCCTTCTCCATCATGGGCACAGAGCAAAGGACCCTGCTCCCAGCCCCTCTCTCCTGCTGTGGCTGGAGGTCAGACGTGCCTCCCTCTCCTCCGCATGTGGCAAGTCAGGGGAGCATAACTGAGCTCATGGAGCAAGAGCCTCCAAGCACCCAGTGCTGGATGCCAGTGAGCTGAACCCAGAGGAGGTGGCAGGGCTGTGACTGGAGCGACCTGAAGACAGAGCTCACCAAGTGGGACAGCCGCAGCCATCAAAGCCACAGGCCTCCTGCAACCAGCAGCTTTAACGCCAGCCTGGATCTCGAGTACGTGGAACAGTGAGGGCACACGGGAGCACGTACTCAGCCCTGGAAGTACAGGCATAGGTGAACTGGGTAACTGCCCAGGCCCAGACAAAAAGGGGGCCCGAAAATGGTCTTTTTTTTATTATCATCATCATCATTATTTCTAGCAAAAGGGGGGCCCAAAACTAGAAGTTTGCCCGGGGCCACCAGGAACCTAGCTACAGTGCTGCACATACTCAGCACAAGGAACCCTGGCATCGGCTCCCCTGCCCCTTGCCCAGGAGCTCAGATGTTCACACTGTGAAGCTGGGACAGGGATGTTGGCATGGTCAGAGAGGAGATGTCTGAAGAGAAAAAGCAACTGCTTGTTGCAGCCAGCTTGGATACGAAGCACCCACGTCTCCTGCTCAGCCGGCAGGTGGCGTTGCTGTCCAAGCAGCGAGGCACAGCGGAACTACAGGTCGTAGTCTGGAGCGGTAACCAGCTCCTGTGCCACTGCCACAGGCTGGTCTGCAGGCTCCCACTTGATGGGACTAAGATCTCAGCAAGAGGCAGCTCTTCAAACCCCTCTCTGCCCCTCGAGTACTCAAAGCTCTGTCCTTTCTTATAGCTGGGCTGGGTCACATCATCTTCCCAGCCTTTCATCCAGCCACCACCAGGAGCCACTGCAGGACTCCAGTCCGGTGCTGGCCTCCAGCAGGAGAGTCCAGCAATCAGATCAGCCTGCGTGCAGCTACATATGAGTCGGGCTTCGAGGAGAACGAGATCCCAGAGCATGGGGTACTAATGACTGGAAGCCACGGCACTAGAGCACCCACACCCAGCAAGGCCCCCATCACCCAGCCACGTGAAGAAGACGCACACAGGACCTGACCCTCCAAAATCCCCACTGCCCTTGAGTTGTCCTGGGAGCTGCGGCGGCCCCTGCTAGCCGTGGACCTTGCGCTGGTGCTTCAGCAGATTGGACTTGTGGTTGAAGGCCTGGGCGCAGTCCTGGCAGCGGAACTGGCGCCGGTTCTGGTGCATCCTCTTGTGCTGCAGGAAGGTGGAGAAGTGGGTGAAGCGCTTGGAGCAAGCATCGCAGCGGAATGGCTTCTCCCCCGAGTGGATGCGCTGGTGCTCCTTCACCGACGCCTCCCACTTGAAGCGCTTGCCGCAGTGCAGGCAGGGGAAGGGCTTCTCCTCCGTGTGGATGCGCAGGTGCTTGATGAGACATGAGGTGCGCTTGAAGTGCTTGCCGCACGTCTCGCAGGTGAAGGGCGCCTCGGCAGAGTGCACCTTGCCGTGCTTCACCAGGTCGCCGGGCAGCTTGAACCGCTTGCCGCAGGCCCGGCAGCGGTGGGGCCGCCGGTCCGAGTGCACCAGGCGGTGCTTGATGAGGTCGGCGCAGCGGGTAAAGCGCTTACGGCAGACCTGGCACTGGAAGGGCCGCTCGCCTGTGTGGATGCGCTGGTGCTCCTGGAAGCTGGACAGGTGCTTAATGTCCTTCTGGCACTCGTTGCAGTGGTACCCTGGCACGTCCCCTCCGTCGGCCGCTGCCGGCATCGCTGCTGCCACCCGCTGGAACAGGAGCCGGGCCGAGCGGCGCGGCTCCTGCCACCCCGGGGAGGGTGGGGGGCTGCCACGGGCTGCCATGGGGTGGGACGCCCCACCTGGAGGGGGAGAGAGCTGCAAGGGGTGAGGGGAGCACTGACAGGCCATCACCCACAAGAGACCTCCTGCAGCTGGAGCTGCAGCCCCTGGAGCAGATCCATGGGGCTGGGGGGTGGGAAATGTACCTGCCCCTACCCCTTCCTTCACCCCCCTACACCTGGTTCTGGCCCCTGGGGCAGATCTGCAGAACTGTGGGGCAAATGTACCCACTCCTGTCCCTGCCCCCCACCCCATGCACTGGTCCCTGGGGCAGATCTCCCAAATATACCTGCCCCTTCCCTCCCCCTACCCCATGGGCCTGAACCCTGGGGCAGATCTGAGGGACAAATGTACCTGTCCATGCCCCTTCCTTTCCCCCACCCAAATCCCCACCCCCACCCCATGCCCTGGCCCCTGGGGCAGATCTGGGGGGCAAATGCACCTACCCCTGCCCCAGGGGCAGATCTACGGGGCTGGGAGGCAAATTCCCCCCCCGGACAGATCTGG